CTGGCCCTCCTCCACATCAGTTATATATGGAGCACTACTGTTATTAAGATAATGATACACTGCATAAAAATGTCCAGCAAAAGGATTACATGAAACTAAAAAGCTTTTGCACAGCAAAGGACATATTTACTAAAGTAGAAAGACAACCAACAGACTGGACTTAATATCCAAAATATGCAAGGAACACAAGAAACTAACTCCCTTCAAATTAATAAACCCATCAATAAATAGGCAAAGGAGGTAAACAGAGACTTCTAAGAAGAGGTAAGAATGGCCAATAAACACATAAGGAAATGTTCAACATCCCCTCACCATAAAGGAAGTGCAAATCAAAACAACATAATGATTCCATTTCATCCCAGTAAGATGGGCCAACATGGAGAATTCAAACAATAACAAATGCTGGTGGGGATGCGGAGGAAAGGGAACCCTTTCCACTATTGGTGGAAATATAAACTAGTGAAACCACTCCGGAGGATGGTTTGGAGATTCCTCAAAAACCAAACATAGAACTACCCTATGATCCAGCCAAACCACTCTTGAGCATCTACCTACAGCATTATAAGTCAATATACCATAAACACACTTGCACATCTATGTTCACTGTTGCACTATTCACAATAGCAGAGTTAGGGCAACAGCTCAGATGCCTGGCAATAGGTAAGTGGAAATGTGATACATACATTCATATATACTAGATATATGTATATATATGTATATATACACACAATGGACTTTGACTTATCCATTAGAAAGGATAATATGTCATTTACAGAGAAATGGATGGACTTAGAGCAAATCATGTGAAGTAAAGTAAGCAAGCTCAGACAAACGGCACATGTTTTCTCTCATATGTTGAAACTAGATCTAAAAAAACACGACTGGACATGATAACATATACGGGGATCAATGCATTTACACACAAAATGACTAAAGCAGGGTATATGTAGGAGAGGAATCCAAAGGCATAACTTCCCTGAACAACTAAAGTACTATTTATCAAAACAAATTCCAGGAAATGCAAACATGTTTTTTGGGGGTGGGAGGGAATTAAAAGAGGAGAATAGGATTGGAGGGAGGAAGGGTGAGCAAATGTAGTCAATTTTGTATTAATATACAAATGTGAACTATGTAACTTGTGGGTAGACATAGGAGGGGGACGTGGGGGAAGGGAAGAAAGAGGTGACATTGCTCAAGAAGCAGCATACTCATAATCTGACTTATAGGAATTGCAATCCTTTTTACAACTCCCCAATAATAACAAAAGAGATTTTTTTTAATGTCCAGGATGAAACAGGGTGTAATATTAAGCAAAACATGATGATTGTAAAATCTTTTTCATGTTTTTTAACAAAATAGATAGATCTCCGCCTATCAACTATCACCTATCTGTATGTATGTATGTGTGTGTGTGTATATGTATGTATATATTTGAATACACAGCCTAAACACATGAAGACAGGAAGGAATCCAGTACACAGATAATGCGAGGAATCCCCAGGGCTGAGTAATGGGGGATTTTTCTCTTTCCACTTTCTACAATTATGAGCCTTTAGCTTTTTCTGTGTTTTTTTTTAAACAAGCAGTATTAGTTTAATCATCAAAAATAATAAAAGAGATTCCCATTCTGAAAATAAAATAACAGTCTAGCTGGATGCAGAGTACTATTGACCTTCAGAGAGAAGCAATCAGGATAAAAATCATCTTGCTCTAAAAACACACTGGGGGGAAAAAAAAGCTTTTGGAGGTTGGGAAGGATGAAACACTGAGTGTATGTTTTCCTATGGAGTCCTGATCTCCTCTTAGGTCCTGGGAGAAGGCTCCAAGGTATGCAATCTCTGCCTACCTCCATCTTCTCTCTCTACTGATATTGCCGATGTCTTCTGGGTTCAAGGTACTGGCCCACCTGTGGTGAGACCCAAGCTGAGTATGTAGCACAGAATACTACAAGTAGAGAAAGGAATCCAGCCCCACACAGCACCATGGGTAAATTTCATAGCCATGGAGCCAAGGGAAAACAGACAAACACCAAAGAGCATACCATAGGATGCTGTTCCCACACGGATGGAGATCAGACTGTGGCTACTTTGAGGTGAGCACTAACTAGGAGGATCAACAGGGATCTCTGGAGCCTGGGAGAATCTGGAATGTTCCATACCTTGGCCCAGGTGATGGTTACAAGGGTGTGTATGTATATAAGCATCTGTCACGCTGCATGTTTAAAGTTCACTATGTTTGAATAATACTGTTTTTTAAAAGTGTCTAAAAGCCATTGGAAGTATTCAGGGTGCAGTGAAGGTGATCTTGTCTAGGCCTCTGGGAAGAGCTGGGGAAGACTGGTGAGAGAGCATGGTGGATTCATGAATAGATGCCTCCTTACCATGGTGCTCACTTAAGTGTGGTGACTTCATTTACAACTCAAATGTACGTTTCAAACCACACAGAAGAGACCTCAAAATTCTAAGAAATGCTAGTCATAAGCCCAAATACCACAGGAAAAAAAGATCTGGTATACATAATGATTTCTAAACCTCCCTGCTAGGCACCAGGCACTGGCAAGGGTTCCCCCAACCTCCCACAACTGTAGTCTCTTATCCACCACCCCCCATAGGGATCTCTGGAGCCTGACCTCTCTAGCCGCAATCATTCCTCATAATGGACTACTCTGGGCACCTTCCTGACTCCCATCTGCACATTCTTGCATGTCACCAACTGAGGGATGCGTGTCTAAGACCCCCTGCACCCCTATCCCCCACTGCTCTCAACAAGCAGACAACCAGGAAGCCAGTATCCTAAGGCACTTAGTGAGTGGGTTATGCAAAGTGGTAGACTCCCAAGTTCAAGCTCAAAAAGTCACATTCCTATTCAGAAACCTTAGAAGTCCTGAAGCCCCCAGGTAAAGCCCAAGGTCACTGGCTTGGTAGATAAACCAAGATAAGAGGCTGTCCCAGCCAGCCTCTCTACATATGTCCAGCCATAGCCCACCTCAAAAGGGCACCTTCCATGGGCCCACATTGTACTTAGGTTCCCTCACATATACCCTGCCTTTGCACCTGTTTTGCCTCCACTCAGAACTCCTACTCATCCTTCACGACACAGTGTGAGAATGCCCATTCACACAGTGCCAGGGCAGGCTTCACCATTTATTTCTCTCCTCCCGTCCATTCTGTATTCATTACACATTTGCCATAAGTGTCCCATTTCAATATGTGCCATTTCCTGAGATGTTACATGCCAGGCACTGGGCCAGCCTGCTTCCTTTGCAGTAATCCCCGGAACCTTGATGGACTGAGTGTTGGTTTCATCCCCGTTTTGCAAATAGGAAAACTGAAACTAGGAGAAGTTATTAGAGTTTGAACAGATCAAACCAGGCAGCTGGTGTAAAGGCCTCCTAGGAAATAAGGTCATGCTCTTTCCTCCTTCGCTCAGTTGGCCCATGAAAAGTGCTCAAGATGCTTCAAAAGAAAGGAAGGAGGGCTGGGAAGGTGGCTCAGTGGTAGAGTGCTTGCCTTGCATGCCTGAGGCCCTGGGTTCGATTCCTCAGCACCACATAAGCAAAAAGAAAAAAAAAGCCGGAAGGGCGCTGTGGCTCAAGTGGTAGAGCGCTAGCCTTGAGCTGAAGAGCTGAGGGACAGCCCCCAGGCCCAGAGTTCAGGCCCCACGACCAGACCCAAAAAAAAAAAAGAAAGGAAGGGATAGTGAAAAGAGGTCTGCAGGTACATGGGAACCTCAGTCACCAAATGACAAGCTGATGCCCATGTGAGGACTTCAGCTCTCACAATCAGCAACTTGGACTGCTTCCGGGGATGACCACAAGGTCAGTGAACCCAGTGGACAGGGAGGGGGCCAGTCTCATTCCTGTTCATCTCAAGCAAGGGGAGAGGGAGACTAAGGGTTAGGAGTCTCTTGGCTTGTGGACCAAATAAATGCATAAGAGCCCAAGAGACAAATACCTCCCTATAGGCTAGTCATTCACATTATTGTCAGCTCACTCAGAAATTCTCTCCAGAATGGAAAAATTTGGAATAAATTATATTAAGTGAAGTAAGCCAGGCCCAAAGAAACATAGGTCCCATGGTTTCCCTTATTTGAAATATCTAGTATATGTATGAGTCAAGCGGAAAAGGCCAGATAATGTGATGTTAGGAAAATGAACCCTTAGATATGTATTTTAATGTTTTTTTCTTTCATGCATTTGTTTCTAACGCATTTATAAGATTATTTCTTTGTTGCTTTGTATGTCCCTCCCCCCACAGCATAACCCCTGCTTTCACTATATTTGATGTCAGTATAACTTGTGGAGGAGATGGGGGAAAAACAAGTCGTTTAAGGATACAGGTGGACCTGTTGCAACAATGAGAAGTACAAGTTGTCATGTTGAAAACGAGCTTTACAATGTTGGTGGGGGGGGAAGATTGGGGGGGAGGCTGGGAAGGGATGTGAAGGGTAAACCTTGATAAGAAATGTACGCATTATCCTGCCCATGTAATTGTAACCCCTCTGTACAGTATGTTCACAAAAAAAAATTAAATTAAATTAAAAAAAAAAAGAAATTCTCTCCAGTTTGCCATGAGCCTGACCCCAGGCCAAAGACTGAAAAACCAACCACTGACTCCAGCCTGGATCCTGCATAAAGAGATAAGTGGAGATTTTTTTTTGGGGGGGGGGTGCGTCGATCATGGGGCTTGAACTCTGGACCTGGGCATGGTCCCTAAGCTCTTTTTGCTTAATGCTAGTGCTCTACCACTTTGAACCACAGAGCCACATCTGTTTTTCTGGTGGTTAATTGGAGTCTGGTGGTTAATAAGAGTCTCATGGACTTTCCAGCTCAGGCTGGCTTTAAACCAAGATCCTCAGATTTCAGCCTTCTGATTAGGATTACAGGTTTGTGCCACTAGCGCCCAGCTGGAGATTTTCTTCAAAGGATCAGCTGATTTGGATCTTCCCTACTGGAGCCCCTCACGCTCCCATGCAGGTCATAAGAAGGGACCAGTACTTACCAGTGTTATGTCCCATTTCTTCTTCTGATGGCTTAGTCCAGTCTTGGGTCTTGTCAATATGAAATAACTTCAGATCATCTTCATCCAAAGCAATGTCTCCCCAGAAGACAGCTAGGAAGAAAAAAAAACAAAAATGGGTCAACTATAGCTGGTGGTCCAGAAAAATAGATTTACTAATGTTCCACAGAGCACTGGGAATTGTGGAACAAACTAGAAAAGGTAGCTTCTCTCATCAAATTTCTCCCTGAGTCTAAGTGATGGGGCTGACAGAGAAGAATGACATTCTGGGCATCAAAGCCTTGGGGGGTGGGAGGAGGGATGCACCAGGATGTGATAGGCTTCAGCTGTTGGGAGAGGAGATACAGTTTTCCATGCTTTACAATTAGCAATGGATTTCACCTCTGCAACATTTCCTTTTTAGTTTCTCATCAACTCATATTAATCTCACTTGTATCCCACAGACGAGGAAACCAAGACTCAGAGAAGAAATGACTCACTCTAGGTATCCACTCAGGGTCTCACAATCAGCAAGTGACAGAGTCAGAACCTCCAAACTAGGGCTCTCTCCAGTCTCCCAAGCTGCCCTCCAAGTTGTGCTGGATTCTAAATGCATTGAGGATAGACTTTATACACACACACACACACACAGACACACACACCTATCTATCAAATCCCATTTCTCACTCTAAGGAGAGTATACAGCTAGGTAGGCTACTGGGTCAGACAGACTAGGTCTTGAGTTCTGCCTGTTCAACATTGAGCAAACAACTGAAGCTCTCTGAGACTTCCAAATGGGGATAAACAATCACTATCACCCTTGAGGGTTGTAAATGACAAGTGTGACAATATGAATGAGTGCCAACATAGAGCTAGTACTCAGTGCTCAGCAAATATAACAGAAGAGCTACATCCACCAGCCATTGAGACCCTTGGCAATGGCCCAAGTGAGCAGTGACATTCAGCAAAACCAAGCAATGTCCTTGCAGGTGTGGCCTGTAAGAGCACTGACTTATACTACTGCTCACTAAGGCCTTTACCCAAGGAAGCCACAAGGGGGAGTAGACCTAGCGCTGAGGGAGCACATGGGAGGGGGCGGGGAGTTGATCTGGTGGTGAACCACTGGATTCTGTGCCATAACCAGCCTGGTCTCCTTCCTGTGGTCCTCTTGATTAGACCTTCTGTCTTAAAGATTCCATACCAGGAACCCAGAATGCTCCTGGTTTATGTTCTTCTCAAGACAAGACACAGCCCAAGAGGTGCCTATCCTATAATGACTCTTTAGAGTTGGCACTGTTCAGGCTCTAGAAGATGTGACTGTTACCCCAAGACAGAGGTCCAGCATCAGAATGTCTCTAGAGGTCCTCCTCTACCTACCTAGACCCAGCCCACATTTCTAGTAGATAAACCAACACATCCTGTAGAGAGTCTGAGCGATTGGTTCAAGTTAGCATAGCAGGTCCCCGTTACAGCCAAGACTCAAGTCCAGGACAATTCCCACTGCATGGGCAATGAAAAGTCTGAAGGGGCAGTGTCTCATGTGTCTGGGAGTTAGGGAGAAAGCTCCCCACTGAAGAGGGAGAGATTTGACCACTCTCATTCTCAGTAAGACCAAGGCAACTGAATCCTACATCCCTGTCCCAGTGTTCTTCCTAACATGGTTTCTTCAAGGTGTTCATCCTCTCTCCCCAGCTCATTATAGTTGGCTTGATATTCAAAGAGAAGAGCAGGATATTGAAGAGGGACATTTTATGTATGTTTGTATGTATGTATTCATTTATTTATATATTTAGTTTGCCAGTCCTGCGGCTTGAACTCAGGGCCTGACTTCTTTGGCCCTGACTTCTTTGCTCAAGTCCAGCACTCTTCCATTTGAGCCACAGAGCCACTTCCGGCTTTTTCTGTGTATGTGATACTGAGGAATCCAGGTACTGAGGCAACCACGCTACCACTAAACCACATTCCCAGCCCAGAAGAGGGACATTTTAAAGACTGCCAATAACTTGGGAAATAGAAGTGTTGTGATCAATTAGTGATGGTTGTCCTGGGCAAAGAGAGGAGTATAACCCTCCTGGTATAGATTTTCATCTGTTTTCATCCTCAGGAAGGGAACTAGGGTAATAAGGCAGCAGAAATAAAATCAGAAATTTGATATAAAAGCAACTGCTTGGTAGTGGAGCTATGAAGCCATAGAGATTAACCGTGAGTGAAAAAGCTCAAGGACAGCACCTATGCCCTGAGTTCAAGCCCCAGTACTGGCACACAAAATCAACTGCTTTACTAAAAGAAATCTAGTAAAATAAATTAGAGTAACTGCTTCTAAATTACTCAGAAAAAGTAACGATAAATAAGAAAAAATGGTGTGTAACACATTGTATTTGTGTGCAACAGAAACTTTCTGCATCTTTCTCAGAGGTTCTCTATTTGGGCTTTTCAATAGAGTCCCTGCTAAATACATGTGGTCACTGAGAACTAGAAACATGGTTAGTGTGAAGAAGCTAAAGTTTAAATTTTGTTTTTTATTGACTTGCCGCCAGTGGCTAATGACTATAATATGAATATAAAATTGGAGAAAGGTGATGGAATAAGCTGTTATGTAGAGTATAACAATTATATTTAACATAGCAGAAAAATCCTATAGCTAGGAGACTTCTCTCAGAAACAAAGTGCTGAAGGGATGGGAAACCACTGGCTCCAGTAACACACAGGCTCCTTGCCTCTTCTAAGCCTCTCTCTCAGTACCTCCCCAGTGCCTCACCAGTAAGAAAACATTTCAATTCTACCCCTTACTTTGCCTCCCTGGTTAAGAAATAGTAGCTTGGTGAGCAGAAGGGATGCATCCAGCCATGAGGCTGGAACCAGAGATGACTTCAACAAGGGAAACACTAGAATAACAAATAGGCAGAAGCTTTGACAGATGGCTAACAGGAGGAAAGGCCATGTTGGCCAAGGGAAGAGCATATGCAAAGGCCCTGAAGTAAAAATGAGTAGGCAGGAGTAAAAGGGGTCTGGTGTGTGTGTGTGTGTGTGTGTGTGTGTGTGTGTGTGTGTGTGTGTGTGTGTAAGGGGCAGCTAAAGTGGAGGGACTCTGCCATGTTGGCTGTGTGTGTGTGTGTGTGTGTGTGTGTGTGTGTGTGTGTGTGTAAGGGGCAGCTAAAGTGGAGGGACTCTGCCATGTTGGCTGTTGAAGATGGCCAGACAGGGCTTGAGGCCTCAGGAACTTAGAAGCTGGACAGGAGGCTCAACAGGAGGCTCAGACACAAAGAATAGAGTTTCTGAGCTGTCGGAACACCCAGCACAGATTTCCCAGGAGTCTCTGCACAATTTGCCATCCCTTCCATGTACATATCTCCCACCCCCTACCATTTCCCCAGCTCCCAGCACAGGGCCTGGGGCTGACCTCCAAAGTATTTTTGTAAATGATGGAGAGAGAATGGATACTCCTTGCAGAGGTCCTAGAGGAGGCAGGGTACAAACCTCCCGTGGATTTAATGAAGTAAGAAAGGCACAGTGAAGCTAACCACCAGCCCAAGTGGGAAACCTAGGAGAAAGGGGCAGGACTTGGACTCAGAACTTTTGGATCCAAACTCCAAGCCTGGAGCCCAGCCCACCTTCTAGAATTGAGATCACAGGTGGGATCTGCAGGAAGTGCTCTTTTTCTAGAACTACTAGCCTGGTAAAGTCTGGGCAACCCAGCAGGCACTGAGACAGGACAGCCTGCAGGAGTGGCTCCAGAGGGTCCTTCATGATGCTCCCACTGGACACTCCAAAAGCCTGCAGGGAGCTGGTTAGCTGGACTGTGGGATGAAATCAGGCTCCCTGACCCAGATCTGGCAGAACTGGGGTCCACAAGACTGGCTCTGGTCTTTCTGACATTGTTCTCCAGCTTCTGGACAACATGGCCTAGAACAGCCCTCTGCCTTCCCAGTGCATCCTGGCTACATAGCCCACCCCAAGGCTCCTTCCAGAACCCACAAGGAATCAATCACCTCACCTCCACCAGCCATTTCCTGATTCTTGTGGCTACACTTCTGGCTTGGGACTGCACTGAGGGCCAGTGGACTCTTCTCTTTATTCAGCTTCCCACTTAAGCATCCTGATCACAAATGTCCCCCAGTGAGGCTGCTGGGGAAGGGAGTTCCCTACGCCATGGTCTACACTGGAGCTGGATGTAGGCTGGACAGGTAACTTTCCCCTTCACCAGTACCATGAGACAGCTCAGTGTGACTGGAGGTGTGGCCCACAGACTACTTGTGGAAATCAGTGTTGATCTGAGCCAGATCTGCAGGTCTTCCCCACCCCACCTCCCAACCCCCTGCTGCCGCCCTTCTCCAGTGAAGTCAGGATGCCTGGGCTACACACTTTAAATGCACATCCACGTCACCCCACCTGGAGAGCACACTGAAGTTTAGGAACTAATGGAGCTGATGGTCTCTTGCAGTCCCTAATTTCCTTTAGACAAGCACTCACCATCTGCCTGGGCCTGCCATTTGTCCACCCACAAAATAAGCCAACTCTAAAAGCAAGGAAAGACCTCGCTAATGTGCCATCAGATAGGCACCTAGGGACAAGCCTAGGTGATGGCAGGAACTAAATATGGAGCATTCAAACCATTGGAATTCCTCTCAGGAAACAGGCAGAGGTGGTGGGGTAGAGGGGCAGGGTGGGGAGAATTACAGGGAAATCCTACCCAAAGATGCATCTTAGTTCCTTTCAAGTTCCAGCAAAGGGATTTAACAGGTTTAAGGCAGTTTCTGTGAATCTTTGTCAAGGGAGTGTATGTACAAACAAACAGGGAGGGTTTTTTTTTTTTTTAGTAAAAAGTTAATCGGCTTAAGTGTGCAACTAAATAAGCAAAGCTTACATTAAAGTGACCCACAGAGAAAGGACCCCATGGAAGGAAAGTTCTAGGAAATACAATATGGCCTCTATGTTCTTTTGTAGTTCTGTGCTATAAATATTCATGGGACGGTGTTAATGGGGTCTACTGCTCTATGCAACCACAATAGTTTTTTTGTTTATTCTCAGGACCATGAACTTTGAAACCATGACCCTAAATTTCAGGAGTCTGCATTCAGGAGAGTTTGTGGAGCAGGAGGGGAGAGGTTGGCTTT